GCATCGGCCCTTGCACACCACCTCTGCGGAACGTGTGACGATAGCAACACCTACCGCAACCCCTATTCCTCAGCAACCCCTCCACCACTTTCGCTGGCTATGGCTTCCCGTCAGTGTTCCGTGCATGCACGCTCGCTCTGGAAGGACTGCGTCGGGGAAAAGAGTTCTCCAACGGCCACTAGAGGGGCGGGCGAGTGTTTGGGGGCGATGGAGTGGGACACCCGCYGATATTCCCAACGGTAATTTCCGACCATGGAGGGCCCCGGCGGCGTGCAGACCAGGCCACCCCGTTGTGATGTATGCGGTACCTGTGTGGCGTGTGCCACACACGGTCGCGCACGGCCACACACGGACATGTCCTGGTGCATGCCGACAGAAGGGCCTGGACCACATCCCCGGGCCTGCTTGCTTTTTCGGGAAACACCCTGGCCGTATTTCCTAATCGGGCATGGAAAAGAGTTTCCAGTCCTGAAAGTCCAGGGCTGCAGTGGGGTCCCAACAAAACGCGGAAACTTCTTTCCAAACACGGTCGGCYGATTTTTAAGGCCAACGTTTTTCCACGCAGCCGGGCAGTGGGATCCAAGCCTAAGTCCCACGGGCGTTTAGTAGTCCTTGATGAGTTTTTTATTATTATTATTTTTTTTCCATTGTGGCCGTGGCCGTTAGATGTTCAGATCGGATAGCAACGGTACACGCGCTCGAAACCAAGTCTAGAGCCCGGCTACCGATGGGGGCTTAGCCGACGGTGGTCATCGTGATCATTCAGTTTTTTTTTTTTTTTTTTTTTTTTTGAAAGCTTCACATGTATTTCATAAAACCAAATGAAGAGAGGCCGGGGACCTCACAATTCAACCCGGAGTTATCTTGGTAGCAAGAGCCCGTTTCGCTTATGAGCCATGCTCAATCACTCACAAGCTACTTCTGAAATAACCTTAATCACTTTTGACCCACGATAAAATGACCAAAGAGACCTTCCGCCAGCTCATCCTGCGTAAAGCTAAGCCTGTTATGCGGGAACTCATTYACCCTTTTGCGGTGTTAGCGCCGATGGCCTCAGACACGGAATCTCTATGCGCTTATGCAATATTTTACTTCAAAGATATAGTGACAACTAGGCGCCCCTTTGTAGTTTTGATTCAAACTTAGCCGAAGTTCACTCTTTCTGGAACACAAGTACAACATATATCCCGTTCCAGGCGATGATAGACTTGGATCAACCCATTACCATAGAGGAAGTGGCGAAGGCGGCAAGGCAAATGACTAAAGGAAAGTGCCCAGGCCCAGATGACTTACCTATAGAATTTTTTCTATCTGCCTAGGAATCCTTTGGACACTTCTTTTGTGAAGTTTTTAACGCAGTCTTGACATAAGGTTCCCTCGCCTCAGGTATGGTTCAGGGTATGATTTCACTGATGTACAAGAAAGGGGACAAAAAARAAATTAGAAACTGGAGACCCATCTCACTCCTAAATGTATCCTATAAGTTGTTGGCAAAGGTGCTAGCCTTGAGGCTGGCATCATTACTCCCATCACTTGTAGGATTAGAGCAGGGAGCCTTTGTCAAAGGACGCTCGATCCKTGATAATATTTTCGCAACAGTCCAGGCCTTGGAAATAATAACGCAAGAAAAAAAAGATGTGGTCATCCTCTTACTTGATATGGAAAAGGCCTATGACAAAGTAGGTTGGGCCTTTGTCAACACCACATTATTGAGTATGGGTTTCGGTCCTCACTTTCGAATGTGGGTAAAGGCGATGTATGCTAACGCGACAGCAACATTGTTAGTTAACGGTAAACAGTCCGAAAATTTTAACCTGTCGCGCTCATCAAGGCAAGGCTGCCCATTAACACCACTAATTTTCGTATTGCAACTGGAAATCCTGATGGCCAATATCAAGACCAACCCGCAAATTGTTGCACTTCGGCTCCCCTCTTCTCTTAGCTGGAAAGGTGGGGCTATTGCGGATGATCTAACAGTGGCGTGTGAGAATAATGAAGAAAGTATGAACGAATTGCGTAGAGTATTAGAAGACTACAGTAGTTTGTTGGAAGCCTCAATTAATTGGGACAAGTTAGTTTATCTGCTCCCCCCCTCCCATAAGATGTGCGTGAACTGGGGGCTACGGCAGGTGCCAGCCAACTCCTCTAAAAGGTTTCTTGGAGTTAAGGTCTCCATATCAGATTGTTCAACACTTCACGACAATATTTTGGCAGAGAAGGTGGTGGCCCGCATAGCCAGTTGGGAGAAGCGTTGTTCCTTATCCTTATTTGGAAGGGCCTTGATCTTGTCTACCGCAGCCTTTTCGCTGCTTTGGCATCCACTGAGTATTCATCAGTTGAGTGAAGCAGCCTATAAGAGGATAAGGAAGGCAGCGGCAAGATACCTGTGGAAGCCGGATGCTACTGCAGACCAAGGGTTCCTCTCGAAAGTCTCATGGGATGTCGTAGCCACTCCGAGGAAGAAAGGAGGACTGAGGATTTTGGACCCAGCACAACAGAGTGTGGCCCTATTGGCAAAGTGACCAATTCAATCTATGACGGAAACTGAGCTTAAGACTTGGATGGTAATGGCTGAATACATCCTAGGATCTTAATGGGACCTGCAAGATTTTTCGAAGGTATGGCCATGCTTACTACTCCCGTCCTTTAAGGGACGCAGGCTTAAGTCTCGACTTTGGAGGAATCTGTTGGGGGCATGGAACAAAGTGGCACCCATGAAGGTTATTCCTCCCACCACCAAACAGGAGGTGCTGAATCAATCGCTATTTGACAACCCCCTTATCACGACGGTTGGAGGTTCTCCCTTCTCAGCTGCAGAAATCTCAGGCGGGTTTGGGAAATCGTGGATTAAGAAGGGAGTGCTCCAGCTGAACGACATCTGGGACCAGGAAGCAGGAACCTTTTTGGAGGTCCCGAGTCTGAGAATGAAGCTGCCCAGATTGCACAATGTCACGCAGCATTATGTGGACCTGATGGCATTTATTCCAAGTTCGTGGATACGGCTTATCCAAGTAGATGCAGATCACGCAGCAGGCACGTGGCTTCGAGCTGAGGATTCTGCCCACCGGTTTTATTATCTTCAGGGGCTAGACCTGGTCTCTTGCATGACAGCACAATCTTGGTGTTTACCAGTAACGGCCGAATCCAAAGGCAAGCTCAGATTAGAGACAGAAGACTACTTGGTCAACGATGTCTCCCATCTCGAAGAAGTAAGAGTGCACACTCAATCTACGGCCCATGGAAAAAAGGTAATGACTTTGTTGGGTGGGGCCAATCAGTTAAGAGTTGAACCATTGCTATTGGGTTGGGAGGATGGTTCTGCATTTAACCGACTGGACTGTTACAGACCGAAAATAGGGGTGTATACACAGCAGGCCCGCTTGAAGAAGACTCCGTCCTCGCTGGCGTTAGGGCGAGCAGAGTCACATCAACTGGAGGGGGTGTTGGAGCAAGGTCTCCACAAACTCTGGAAAGCATTAATGAAGGTGTCAGTACAAAAGCAGGCGAGCCTTATGTGGCTGCAATCCCTATTGGTAACTGCTACAGCAATGTGGCCAGCCACTAAAGGAATGGAGATTTCTACGCAATGCCGGAGATGCAATTGGGGTTGGGAAAACATGATTCACATCTGGCTTTACTGCCCCTTGGTCGACGAGTTACTGATGTGGTAAAAGGAGCACTGGAGTAACTTCACATCTAGAGAAATGGAATGGACTGATACTTGGATGCTTACTGGTCTGCCGACCGGGAATCTGTCATATTATGTCGCTCTCAGTTGTAGAGCTGTTCTGATGGAGGTTATCTGGACTGCAAGGAATGCAAGGGTATTCAAAGGCGAAGATCTGACCACAAAACAACAACAGAATATGGTCAAACAATATATCAGAAGGATCATCAGGGCAGATTGGCAGAAGAAGAATGTGATCTGTTTTCAGAAAACATGGGCTAAGGACAAGAGACTAGCTTGGATAAACCAGAACGGCCGTCTTACTCTGTGTAATTGGCTTTTAGACACGCACGATTGTTCTCTGGTAAGAGGTGACTGCCCTTTTAGGCTTAATATTGGACTTGGAACAAGATGGACGTGGTCTGATAAGAGGGTATAAGGAAGGTACATGGTGCAGTTAGATAAGGTCAGAGAAGGCCATCGATAGGTCTGGGTTCTTACTCAACAGAGTATTAGGCCACTCAGCTTACGCTCCACGGTGGCAAGCAGTGCTGTAAATAGCCTAATGCCTCAGTGTTTAAGATCTCCCATAGCAGCCCTGCTCAGAATACTTCATATTTTACTGACTAAGCTTTTAGATGGGATGCGGGATTAGGATGCAAGGCTTGGTACCCTGTAGGCCATTTAGACTCAGAGATATGGGAGAAATACAGACTGCAAGGGCGGTCCCTTTTTATGGGCTTTAAGGTTAAACATTTTTGGAAAGCACCGGTGTTAGCAATAATTGACTTGACCCGGCTCCCAGCAATGATCATTCAGTTTTCAGTTTGAAATTTTTAATTTTCATTTGTTGATTTGCGCAGCAGTGGCCATAATTAAAAAAAAAAAAAAAAAAAACTGTAGTATAAGGAAGTGTCTAGGTCCCGTCGAGATAAATTGGGAAATTTGCAGAACCTTGATGATGCCAGATTGCTCAGAAGTGAGTCAAAGAGTTGGGGCCGCAGGTCCACATACCGCGGGAATATCAAGGGTGGGCGGGTCCGCTTCACCAATATCTGGCGATGAAAACAACTTGACCTCTGAGCGAAATCTGGTGCTCGTGGTGTGCCTGCAGGTTCGCCTACGCGATGGCCGCGGCAGCGGCGGACGAAATCCCGAAGTCGCTCCGCGCGAGACAAACCAGCCTGCTGCGACCGGTCCTATGCCAGTTACATATAGTCTCGCAGCGCCCGGATCCAGTGGCGGTCGGTCCTCCGAGGGACTCCTTCGTGCAGGGTAAGTTCCTCTATTTCCCTCTCTTGATCTTGGTTTCGCGAACTCCAAGCCGTGGATTGCCGAAAATAAAGAATCGAATCTTTAGGAAAATAGGCCCGTTCTTTAAAACTGAAGATCTGCGGTTTAGAACCTCTTGAAGTAGTTGAAGTTGAAATGACTGGCAGGACCCTGTGTGTGTGACAATTGTTGGATCTGAGCCCACCGAGTAGGTACCAACTGAAAAAGGTGGAGTAGGACAGTTGCTGCCTGGTCTCGTCGGGATAAATTGGAAAATTTGCAGAACCTTGATGATGCCTGATTGCTCATAAGTGAGTCAAAGAGTTGGGGCAACAGACCCACACACCTCCTAGACCGCCCCAAATCCCTCCATCATCCCACAAGTGACGTGTCATCTTGCAGGGAGTGGTGGAACGAGTGGATGAGTGATGGAAGCTGGCGCCAGAAGCGAGCGATGCCGGAGATAACAAGGAGTTATCAAGCTGGATTAGATTGGAGTAGTAAGCTAATAGAGGAGTTCAGGCTGGGAAAGCGATGGCGGAGTGGGATGAAGAAACTGTTACTTGGATTGAACGAGTGGTTAGAGCGGAATGGAGTGGGCACGAGCTGCATGACATGCAATGACTTGGATGTTCTATCCTTTCTAAGTAGTCAGTAGTTAGTGGAGATTGAAAGCAGGTGCCGAACTACTGGTAGCGATGGTGAACCGATGGTATCTCCATCCACGGTAGATGATGTAGTGAATTGTTTGAGTGGCACCTTTAAATTGCTTGGTAGGGAAGAAGGAGATCATCCTTGCCAGAGTAGCCGTGTGAAAGCATTTCGGAAAGCGTACCGGGAGTATGGGTTGGCTAGGGGGGTCGTGGAAGAGTCTGCTCGACCATTGGTTTGGAAGAAACTGAAGATTGTGATAGAATATAAGGAACAAGATAAAAGTGTTGAAGAGGATGCGAGAGGCGAAAATTTATCGGGATGCAACTATGTTCTTGTATCTATCGGAGAGTTGACAGCGGTGCGGGGAAGGTTTGCGATTGCAGCATAAAAAGATTGATGTTGGTAATTGCCTTGTTCGTCCCGGATATACGAAGACGGACCGATATGGAGGTTGGTTTTTGATACGGCTGAAAAAAACTGATGATAGTGAAGAGACTTTTATGCGAGTCTTACCGGAGTTAATAGTTGTATATGAGCGACTCGGGTTGGATTTGCGATTGGGTTTTCTGTTCCGAGCTGGTCGGGGAGTTAATGCACTTGGTGGCAGAGCGTTTAATAAGCGAGTTGAAAAATGGTTTGGAGAAGCGAGGGTCTATGAAGGAGAGAGTGACCGTAGTTTTCAGATTAAGGGTTTGCAGGCTGGAATAAAAGACGGATGAAGTTTAGGAGAGATGATGCGGCAGGGGACCTGGAGTAGTATCGGAACATTTATGCGCTATGGATATGGGGTAAAGAGGGGGTGGAAGCGTAGTGGTGAGGTGACCGAGGAGAATATGGGAAATGCAGAAAGAGACTAAGTGGTAAAGAGGATGCAGGAAAGACCAATGGTGGCCGGATTTTGGCAAGAGTGGTAAACGCGCGGGCTTGGAATACATGAGTAAACTGATTTGGGTATGATAAATTTATGGGAGACCTTAAGGGAGAGGATGTGAGGCAGCCAGTTAGCTTTGCGCGTGTCTGGGAATATAAAGAGATAAGAAGCGGGTGCAGAAGAGGCGAGTGATAGGGTTTCGTAAATAAATGAAAATGGTGGGAAGAGTCATCTATAAGGTGACTTTGGTAAGGAATTACAATCTAACGAAAGGGCGTCTACGAACGATGTTGATGAGGAGCACATTCTGGAAATAAATACAGGGCAAGCATTATGGTAGTCTGATGCAAAGAGATCAATGGCAGGTGCTCCTAACGAGTTGAAGATGACCTTCTTGAGGTGAGACGAGATGCCCCAGTCAGTGTTGTCCTGGGTTTTGGATAAATCGTCGGCGCTTTGATTAAGATTCCTAGGAATCCATATTAGGAAAAGACAAGTATCATGAGAAATGAGAAGCGATGAGATCAAGCGGAGCCAATGGTTGAAAAGAGGATCGGTGGATCGTAGATTGCTAAGTAGGCCAACTGAAGATTGGTTGTCTGAAAGGAGTCTGATAGCGGAGGAAAGAAGAAGGTGAGGATGCAATTTTTGCAGAAGGAGAAGAGCTTGAAGAATTTCGAATAGCTCGCGATGAGCGAACGAGGTGGAGAGGAGGTCACTTGAAAGGCATTGATTGAAGTGAAGCGACGGGCCTGAGGATGGAACGATAATTGATCCAATCTGGGTAGCAGAAGCGTCTGTTGAAATGATAGAGGATATTGGTCGTTTTGTCCAAAGACGGCCGGGAAGGCGAGGTAGGTGTTCTACCCACCAAATCAGATCTTGAATCAAGGAGTCTATGATGACTCCTGGAGAATCCCAGTTGGAGGGGGAGATCGCTTCGTAGATGGAGGAAGTAAAAAGAAGGGTAGGCAAAAATGTTTGTGAAAGTGAAGCGAGTTTTCCTGCGAGTTTAGCTAAAGTTCTACTTGAAGAGTTGGTAGTGGTAGTTGAAGAAATGAGTGTTAAAATCTTTCCAGCCTTATCGTCCGGGACTTTGATTCTTTTAGAGTGAGAGTCGATCGTAAAACTAAAAAACCAGATGGATTGCGAGGGCAAAAAGGAACATTTGCTAAGGCTTAGAAAAAATCATACGTTGTGAAGCAATGTGACATAATTGAATCGATTGCCAAATAAGGAGGGGAAGGTTTGAGTTTGCAAGGGCAAAGTCGTCTATATAAGAGGTAATCCAGATATGACGGAGGCGGAGTTTCGCCATGATTTCATGCATTAGGGTAGTGAAGATCTAGCATGCGGAAAAGATTCCAAAGCAAAAACTTTTAAATTGGTATGTTGATCATTTCCAGGAGAAAGCGAGATAAGGTCTGTGATCGGGATGAACTGGGATATGATAGTATCCATTTTCAATGTCAAAACATGTTAGGAAATCTTGAGTTTGTTAGTCATTAATAGATTCATAGTGGATGTCTGAAAAAGATAGGAGGAGGTTGACAAACCTGACATCAAGGATGAATCTGGTTTTGGATGAGCTTTCGATGGTGAAGACTGGGTTGATAACAATAGGATTTTGAAAATGCTCAATGACACCAAAGTAGCTGAGAAATCGAAGAAGAGATGAAGTCTTCATGATGGGGAAATAGGGTATGATTTGGAATTGAGGTTGGGGGGGGGTTTTCACACAGGAAAGATTTCTTGAAAGCGGAGGTTGAGTACACATTCTTGACCATATCGCTGACTTCAATAATTTTCTTAACAAGAATATGCTTAGTTCCGACAAAATTGAATTTGACTCCGTGGCGAATCCATTGGAGAACCGAATGGGAATATCTTCTTGAAGATGAGGAGGGGAATGACCAATTACTAAAAAATTGTGAAGTGGAGGCGGCGAAGAAACAATCTGGATCAGGAAGTGAGGCAGAAGGTTCCGGAGGTGCGAATGCAGCGGGCGAAGTTGCGAAATTGTCTGGGGAGAAGAAATGTTTGATAGAATTGAAGGGACGGAAGGAATATGCAGAGGAGGTGTACCACTTAATGTGCTTGGAAGGATCTGCCGACGAAGATGAGGGGAAACTCTTTAAATCCGAGTCATGGTGAGGACGCTTTGAGGAGTGATTGAAGTCATAGCCCGTTTCTGATTTGCCGTCATGATGCCGTTTTGAAGTCGATTTCCTTTGGTCATCCAATTTGTTGAAGCCGTCCTTCTTCCGGCTGGAGGATGAGTCCGATTCCGACTTGCCATACCTGCAAAATTATGATAGAAAGAGATAGATAAGCCCATAAACACGAATGGCGTGGACCTATTTAGCGATCACGGGCGATAATTTTGGTGGCGGGCGACTGCCCTAAACTTACCTAGAGCAATCCTTTCTTGCGACGCCGAGACAGTGATAGTACTCAAATTCGATGATGGGAAGGGTCTTTTCCATGCCTTCGCGAATGACCTTGTTAAGAACAGTCCTTGCT